TATATATATATATATATATATATATATATATATATATATATATATATATATATATATATATATATATAATTTGTCAGCGCTATGAATCTGTGACAATTTTATACATTAATCTTTTATAATGTATATAATAGTAAGACACAGAGATACACAAGTGATATATCGATATACTTAAAATAATTTGGATATATCAAGATATACACGTATGTATATGTAGTAATGTGCATTATAACTTTGCCTCGCGAATCTCTAATTGGAATATCTCGTGGTAAGTTACGTACATGTTACGTCGAATATCAATAAATTTTACTCGAAGCATGTTGCATATTTTCGCTCGTTTAAAATGTTATTAGTAAATCAGCCGTAACTTTGATTCTTATTAAATTCAGTCAATATATAAAATGCTTTGGATAATGAATAGTTGACTAATATATATCACAAGTTATTTTCTCTCCCATATAAGAGGACAATACACAGATAATGCTAGGACTAAAACTCCTTTTTTCTTCGATAATATACTTCATTCGTATGTTTTATTATTATATTCGCATTGTAAGGTCCCGGACTGACAAAATTTTTGCGTAAGCTATCGAGATATATTAATACTGCTTGACAAATAAGATCAATATATCTCTGGTTTTATATGATTAGTATAACACACGTTTAATCAAAGCAATTAGAAATTGTTTAAATTGAAAGCGAGATTTAATTTGGAATTTTTTTCTTATTACATTTTCTTTAAAGGGATGCCATGCTTTAACTACTGATTTTTTCCTGCAAAGTTCATGCCATATTGGTTGAACAATTTTTAATAATATAATTTCAAATAAAGTTTTATGTATGTTGTAAGATGTTTTTACAACATAAAAATATGTGCAAAAATAAATTGCATAATATGCAATGAAAACAATACGAAATTTCCAAATTGATATCTCGGGCTGTTACTAGTTAATGTAAATTGCCTGATACAAAAGTTGTGCAGCTTACATTTTCGAACATGTGTTTGCTCTGCTTAGAAACATCTCAATTGCTGCGTTTCAATTGCAAAGAGTTGCTGTATCTTTACAACTGAGTTTAGAAGCTTAAAAATATACAAGGAATTTGCAAAAAGAATTTTTTGTATGTACGGTTAGGTTTTCCGCTAAATATAATAAAACAAAACAGTACACAATTACAATACAAGATCTAGACGTACAAAATATTCGAAAAGGCCGATCGTGCTAATCCAACATGATATCTTGACGATCGCTTCTACGTTATCGGTATTTTTGTATTTCATTTAGCACTTTGGCATCCCCTTAACTCCTTAACGTGGATAACAAGAATGACTCATTGAAAGTGACAATAAACCGAGAAAATATCTACAGGTATAATTACCTGTCACGATTTTAAGAATGAATTTAAGTCAGTTGTAAGCTAAATCTGTGGTAGGTTTTTCGTTATGGTACAACTTAGCAATACACCACGTATATGTAATGTTTTTAACATCTAACTCGGACAATACGTAAAACTGCGTTCGCAAGATAATGACTCTGTTATTCGTGTGATGTATATAATACATCGAATGTTAATCCATATCGATTAAATAAAGACGCAACATAAGTGTTCGGTAATCCAAACAATTCCTTTTCGATGAAAAAGATTAAAAATCACTTGGTAACAATAATGTTTCTACACAAAATTCCACGTGTACCTTCATTTAAAATATGAAATAGTGACCATACATACGTTTACATCCGCTTATCCGCGGGGTTTTAAAAGAAGTGCTTGCGGACCTCGTCAGGGCAGATATAAACATACCCTATATCCGTATATACGTTTAAGATAAAATAGCGATGCTACGTCTAGGTCCGCCTATGCATACATTGTCTAAACTGGACCATTTTTTAACACCGGTACGTAAAGCCACGGCTGTAACCTTGTCCTCGTAGACTCTGGACATAGCTTCTAGCTTCTGCGCCTTTTCTTTACTAAGAGGTTCACTAGGGAATGTTAATTCGTTTGCTTCCGCAAGTGTACGAAGGTCGAAGTAATATTTGGCATATACACTCGAAGGAACATTTATGTTGAATTGTAGCATTTCCAAAAATTGTCTCTCCAACTCGTTCCTAGACGATGATCACACAAATTGATCCGATTAATACAATATACATGTAGTTATTTTCATTGGCTCTGCTAACAAAGAAATTGAACTAAACAATTGAGGGAGGAACTTACATGTCTTCCACAGTGATGTCTTTCAGTATCTGACAATAATCTACATTCCACACCGCCTGATCGTCCCAAACTTTAGACGCCAATAAAATAGCTCCTAAAACTATCCGTTTCCAGTTAGCTGGCGTAATATCTATTTCTGCATAAGTAAGTAGGCGTTCTAAGTAAACCAATGTTATAATGGCACATTCAGCTGTGAGCTGAGCGGCATTAAACAAAGTCCTCACAAATTTATATATTTGTTTGTGCTCCGGATTATGTTTATCGTAATCATCTGAAACACCATCTCTCTGAAAAAGAAGGATTTACAATATAGAAGTCATTTAATTTTGTCTGAGGAAGAATTGTGACTCATTGTGGAGCAAGTTGCCGAATCTCATGATTCAATATACTTAAAGTTACTGTAAAGTTCATTAATCTATCCAGATATACAAATGAAAAATGTAGAAATAAAACAACGATTAGCTACTCTATGCAAAAATAATGAATATCTTTCTTTCTCCTCAAATTACCGTTAAAGGATGTAGTTTCTCGTCGAATATATCAATCTGCCGCTGTGAAGTTCTATTCTTAATATGGTAATAAACAGCTAAGGCAACGCATTTGACGGTATTTTTTAAATTAGGTTGTGAGACTGTGCTGTCATCTAGATATATTGTACTGCAGCTACTACTTTTCTTTAAAGGCCTTGTATCTGCTATCTGATGTTGACTTTTTTTTCTCACCATGCCATCTAAAAAGAGATTAAATCAGACACCTTTGCCCTGAGGAGGAATTCATATCTTGGCAGAAAAGTATAAATTACTGTCTAATCAGCAACGTAAGTTCTGATTGACTGTGTTCAGTATAGAAAACTTTGTAACTATTGTACAATTCTGTACAATAGTCTGAATCTGATTAGCATATGCTCTTAATTTCAACCAAGATTAAGAGCATATCTCAATCAGATTCAGAAATTTTACAACTACAAAGCAACTTTCTCTGTTGAACACAGCCATTAGCTTCTGCTTTTCTGCCAAGGTGTGAATTCTCCTTGAGTTTGTTCTCTCTCTCTTTCTGTAACTAATGCAACACTTACTCTCTATGGCTTGTTTTGAACGTTCCATAAAAATAGTTCCTGCACACGGATGCAACGACGGATCAGAGTCCCAGTCTTCAGGCTCACGTTCACTGATATGTTGCAAATTATTAACGCTAATCCCACCCTCAGGCAAGTGTTCCTCCAGGTTGCGAGTGGTACCTTCGGAGCCTGGTTCCTTGCGTCCACTTTGTGGACTAGAGTAGACACAGCAGCTATTTTTGTTCCCCATGTTTCCATATAAACTCTACTGTCAGCCAGTATGCTCGCGTCCTGCCGCGCCTCACGTTACGCTTACGATTAGTCTTAATGTATGCGGAGGAATCAGGCCGCGACAATCGAACCTGCAATATATGATTGTACGGATCGTGACTCGACGATGGGGATACCTGCTGCTCACATTTCGTTGTTCAATAATGATCAGCTGACGGGGCCGTTTGTACGATCGACGTGACTCGAGCCGCACGTCTGGCTCATGTCGGCGACGCTCGCCGATGCTGGCACGCGTTGCAGGTAAGCTTGCGAGACTCTCGGTGCGAGGGCTTCGCGCGATCGCAACGATCCTCCCTCCGCACCTCTCGTGTCCCGAAGAACACTGGGTCGGCTCGTGTATCGCGTGACGTTTATTCTGCGACTGTCAGAGAATAAGGCGATAACGCCTCGAGACAGTGTTCGTGCCGGCCGAGCTTATCGTTTCCGTCCCTATGGTTAAGCTATACGGTCGCGTACGGCCGCGACTCGTGATGCGGCTCATTGTTGTTGCGCGGTAATTCCATCCTTGCCGCACATTTACTTCGTTCCGGACTCGAACACTTCTCCCCTCAAGTTTTTCTCTCTCTTTCTTTCTCTATCGATGGATTGCGAACAATTTTGCGTTGGCTTCCACTTACTCCATTACGATTACATGCCGACTCGTCAAGTATGCATCAGGATTAGAATATGTGTACTTGTAGGTAGGGATGGGCAAGTTTTCTCCACTGAAATATATGCTACCTGGAACGCGCGCTACCTCTTGAGTGTTGCGGGATGAGAGAAAGCATGCTTGTAGGTCTCGAACAGCGCTCTGTCTTTGTCTAGTACAGTCTGAATCAAAAGCTAAGTCAGCTGATTTCTAAACATAGGTCGAGTTTTTTAATTCATCGATGGATCCATCGATGAATTAAAAAACTCGCCCATAAGCTGAATCTCCGAATTAGGAACCATCTTTGCTTTGTTTTATAATAATTTTTTGCTTAATAATAAGTCGATAAGTGAATACTGATAAATGAGAAAAAATATATATATTTTTTTATATCTTAAACTTTCGTTCATAAGCTTAAGTCATTGCCATTCAGTGTGTGTGTGTGTGTGGTCATTTTTCATATTATTTCTTACTTTTAACTTGGATTGTATCACATTCTCCCCACTCTCGACTATATTATGAACCAGACAAGGATAAGAGAGGAAACAAGGAATCTCTCTCTCATCCCGCACGCCTCAAGAAGCAGCATGCGTTCTAGGGCCCTTATTCTTGAAATAGTTGCGTATACGTAACTTTTACTGCGCAGGTTTAATCATACCATAAAATAGTTGCGCAGTAAAACTTACGTATACGCAACTAGTTAGAGAATCGAGCCCCAGGTAGTATATATTTCAGTAGTTTTCAACAAATGAATCGATTCTTCTTTTGTTGACTGGCCTCTCGATGTTTCTGAATTCATTCGATCCCTACGTCTATGGTCTTTCTTTTTAATTAGACCTTACTGGATTTCGTTGATATTGTATTACAACTTAACTCTGCCCATTGGCTTGGTTTACATCGTGCATTTGATACGCGTACTAAATAGTAACTTTCTATTAGATAATCTCAATATCGATGATATATATAAACAACAATATATTAAGCTGGTATAATACTCATCAACAAAATGTATTGATAGAATGCATCGCTGTTGATATGCATTGTCGATATTAAGATTATCTAATAGAAAGTTATTATTTAGTACGCGTATCAAGTGCACGATGTAAACCAGGCCATAGAGACAAAGGTCTATCTAACCGGTTGTCGTGAGTTGTAGCTTTGCTATATTCCACAGTTTTCGCTAGTAAGGCTGATATTACATGTGTCGTACGACAAGCTTTTCGGATACGTTTATTGGTTGGCGAATAGAGTATTTCTAGGTTCTCTGTTTGTCAACCAATGAACGTATCTAAAAAGCTTGTCGTACGACACGTGAAATATCAGTCTTACGCGACAATTTCCTGAAAAATTGAGGAAATAAGATTGAGGAAATAAGATACCAACGAAAACCTCTAGACGACATAATTTTAATTTCTAAGGATTACTAACATTGTTTAAGTTGATTGATAAGCTGTTATTTTTAGCGCAAACAGGGGGTCGATTGTATATTGGCTCCTGCACACAAGACACGGTAATGCTTGCCGCGCGGCAGAAGTTTGCGCGACAGCCAATCAATATGCTGCTTTCCGTAATAACCTTCTAGTTCTTACGGAAAAACAACATATTGGGTGCTTTCCAATTGCTTAACACATCTTGACACACATGTATACAAAACCAGTTTACTGGTCACATATTATCTAAAATTTCTTGTAAGATAATATGCAACCAATAAACTGGTTTTGTGTAACACAGGAGTGCGTTCAGATTCTTCATCCGGGTGCACTCTATTACTAGAAACACTATAGTATATGTTACATATACTATAGCACTTCTAGTAATAGAATACCCGACTGTGTAATCTGAACGCAGCTCAGTGTACGCAACTGAAAAGCATCCGACACGACCAATAGCTATGTTCAAAAATCCTACTCGATGGGTAGAGTTACTTTAATAAACCAATCATAATAAATAAATCTTAGTTCCTTTTGCTCTGATTGGTTAATTAAATGTTACTCTACTCACGGAATAGGGTTTCTGAACGCAGCCAATATAGATCGGTCTTTAGGTAATGTAACTGTTGTGTCTTGCTGAACGAAGTTACTGGGTACGGTCCAGTAAGCGCTACAATTGCTTTATAACGTTTTTACTTCTTTCTCTTTCTTCATTTGAATCTGAGAAATAGAACAAGAAAGAGAAACGCTGCGCAGCATTTACGTAGCGGTTACTGAACCGCGCCCACTATTTCTATCAAGGGCTGCGTTCCAAAATTCTACTCGATGAGTAGAGTACATTTGATTGACCAATCATGATAAAGAAATTCTAGTTATCTTTGTTCTTATTGGTCAATTAAATGCTACTCTACCCATCGAGTAAGTTTTGGAATGCAGCCCAGCTGATGTAGTATGACTCAATGACGGGACGGACAAACTTTACCTTCAAGTGACAAATTTCAACGAGACGATCTATTTATCTCAACGACCTATTTATTTTTCTGCAGTAATATTGGATAATAATGATATTTAATGACATTAAGTTTGAAACCAACTGCAAGTGAATAAATAAAATTTAAAAACTCCGAGAAGACAATTTATTTCTTAGTAAAAAAACGAATATCGATCCATCGGTCAAACATTACCCAATCCTAACCTCAATTCCGCAATTGGTTTGTGACGTGCCTATCGTTAAAATGGCGAGATAATGTGTTGATATTTATTTTAAGTGCATTTTTGTTGAAGCGGGTGTAGGGAAGCTATAAATCTATTAGCACGCATCAATAATTATTGGATTTTATGTGGAGCAATGCATTCGATCAGTGCCAGCTTGTCAGGTTCCACAGACGTAAACGTTTCGACGTTAGTCAAACGAGATCAGAACTGCAAAGCGATCGACAACAGTACTGGTGAACCGTGCGGCGAAACCGAAGGTCTGCGTATCCTCGATGAATTCCGCAAGTTATACGAGAGTCGCATCGAGAAAATCGATGGAGAGTCTGGCGGTGATTTTGACAGAGTTTCCGTAAGCAATATTTGTTATAAAAAAAGTCGCATATATAATTTATTCTAGATTATTTATATTGCACATCTCTACGAAACAGTGCAATTTTAATTGTTTAAAACTACAGATTAAAAATATTTATTCAAAGCATTGACTGAAAGTTATGCTTTGTAGACAAAGTTACAGATAATGAGCGATTGGATTAAAGACTTGGGAGATCAAAATACTATGCTAGTACAAACAGTGCAAGATTTGGAGCAAGCTGCTTGCAGTAGAGTTAAGTTATTGGAAGAAAAATTGAAACAGTCCTCGCAGATAGTGGAAGATAACTTGACAAGATCAAATTGTTCTGAAGAAGTAAGAGATAGTCAAGCTTCATTAAATTGTTTTAAGACCTGTGAGGTAAAATACAATTCTATATATACAATTATTTATTTGGTTTTCCTTTTATTACAGGCTCTAAATATTCTTTCAAATCGTGTCAATCAGTTACAAAAAGATGAGAAGTTCCTGGTTAAAAAAATAGAATATTTACAGAGTGACATTAGAGGATTATTGGAGTTAATCCGACGTGCATGCTGCCAAAATGTCTGGAGCCTTGAGGGTATAACATTTTTTGAAATTCAACCTAAGGATATTCCACTTCCACCACTGAAGTAAGTTCAAAATACTTATACAATTAAAAAAATACATATTAGTTTATAATATTTATTATTATAATTATTTATATTTAATTTATTATTTATAATTAATTTATAATAATTATAATAATATTTGTTATAAGATATAAAAAATTCTTACAAAATATTTAGTAGTAAAATCTGTTTTATTATTACAGCTGTATTTGTAACCAGGTAAATATGTGTATAAATGCAACGAAGAAGCTCAGACTTATTTTAGATGTAGAGCACAGAAAATAACAAAAGTCAGATTATCTATTAAGCAAAAGTACGTGATACAATGCTTCTACTGTATGTTTAACATGCAAGCTTTCCCTGCTCCCTGCACCCTTTATTAAATTAACTGTTATCAGATACACATGTGCATATATATATATATATATATCCATATTGAATAAATGATTAGTGATCATATTCAGTGGAATTGATTGTGCTTCTAAACAGTTTTCTTATTTGTATAATACTAGTGATTTTTTGGTATGTTGCTGAGCAAAATAAGCAATATGTTTTGGTGTATTATATTATTATCTTGCAATATTATACTTGATAATATATCTTAAATTAGGAAAAGGTAGACACCGAACAAATAAGATCCTTGAATTTGGAAATAGAACAACTTCAAGAGAATGAGAAAAAGATGATTAGGTAAGAAATATAATAGATATCTATAATACATCCATTTTTATATGTGTAAATATGTTAAAATTATATTAAAATACTAAAATCATGATAACATGATTTATACTAGATTGTATTTTCTTATATATAATACACATTTTCACATGAATGTATGCTTTCCAGATCTAAAATGGAACTGGAGGGAAAAATAGAAGATTTTAAAACAAAATTATCAGTAAAGGATGAGACCATAAAGAGATACGCTTCTAGACTTCAAAGCTTTTGTGAGAAACTCAAGGAGTACTCTAAACAGACAAGTCAAGTTATTAATCATCCATTGACAATTACTTCTGATCAGAATTATGATGTAAGTTCATTTTCTTTAATTATTGTGAATAAATAAGTGATATTCTAAATTTTAATTTTTTTAAGTTTTCATGAGTTTCAATATCCAATTATCGATTTTTATAGATAATTTGGAGGCAATCATGTTATAGTGGATAAGAATTATAGAAAAGAAAAAACATCTTTGTTATTGTTGTGATAATTACTTTTGTTACTTTTTATAGTATGTTTTGAACATGTTTTGTGTAATTACATTTTACTAACAAAATGTATAGTTTTCACAAATTTTCCAATATTGGAGACCAACAGTCTTTTAACTGTTACTGTTCAGATTATGTTAACACCTGACATTCTGGAAAGTGTGTTAATTACAAAAGATACAGAAAACAAAAGTTTATATCGACATCTCCAAGAAGTCGAATCCAAGTATATGGTGTACACTCACAAAAGTAATATTGATACAAATAATCTGCAAAAACAGCTTGAAGAGGAATCTAAGAAAGTACAACAGTTGCAGGCGGAAGTGGCTCGTTTGGAAGAGGTTAGTCACCACATTAAAATACCTATTTTATAGTTTACACGCTACATTTGAACATTTACTGTTATTGTTTTTAGGAGGTTACTGAAACACGGAATGCGATGACAAAAGTTGTTACGTTAAAGAATGAAAATTGTCATGCAAATATAGGAAATAGTTTCAAGAATGAGGTGATTAAAGAGATGTGTAAAGAATTGAAGAAAGTAACTCTAGAGGTACGAAATAAATTCTTATGGTGTAAATTCACTATTTCTCTAGTAGAAACCAGTTTCTCATTTTTTGTTCACACATGTACAACATTAATATCGCCAATATTACTAAATAATATTTTTTAATTTGTTGTGTGTGTTATCATATGTTTAAAACCTTTTTACTAACCTTTCTTCATATATATATACGCAGCGAGACACTCTTAAGTCACAAGAAACCGTTACAAGAAATAGTCACAAGAAATCGCCAAAAAGTCTATCAATTATCAATACAACGTTACAAGACAGATCGTTCATTAATAATTGGCACTTTCGGCACGATGCAACTACTCGATCCGGTCGATCTAAATATTCAAAGAAAAGCGACAAGAAAATTGTGCAGGCCATTAGAAAGTTGTCCCCACCATGTAAAGACAATAGTTTCCTGCAAGATAGAATCGACTGCATCAGATTTTTAAAAGACGAAATTAATAATACAATCCTAAAATGATTTAAATTTTTTTATAAAACATTTATATCACAAATTGATAAATAAATTTATGGATCTATATACATGTGTGTAATCAATGATTTACATAATATTATTAATGTTTTTAAAATAGTTATAAATTTGTTTCACGATATTATCCATAATGATTAAAATATTGCGTGTATTAACATGATTGTCTTACTTTCAAATCTAATGTAAATTTTAAATAAGATATTCTTACATGTTTTACGATGAATATAATCATTCCATTTACATGTTAAAAATTTGCAAATATATAGACTTTTTATATAATTTTTCCAGGATACGTCTCCTCGGAAAGTCCGCGTTGATACAAGTAATTATCCACAGGTAAGTTGTGAATCAAATCTGAACATGTATAGACATTAATGCGTTATGCGTAATATGATATTGAATTGATATATTCTGTTTTTCTTTTAGATATATTCTCCACCTTCAATAGATCCTACACGTTATTCTAAAAAGGTTTGTTTGAAAAATTATATTTGTATCTTGAAAATGTATTAAACATATCATTATATCAATAATTTTATTTTCAGGATGAACTTCTATCATTTCTGAATGGTACAAAAGTCCATATACAAAAGGAATGTGAGATTTTATCTGATTTAAAATTAGAACTGAAGAAATTCGTTGAAAAATTGACTGATAAGACTGCTGAGGTAAGAAAGCAGTATATCCTTCCTAAAATTGTAATAAAGTGGAAAAAAAATATCTTTGCAGGAAAATACACAGATCTTTTAAAACATCTATTTAAGATATTAGTTGATTGTTTTACACTAGCTTATGGCTCGTATTGTTATAGAGTTCTTTTTAAAAGAATATATTTTTTAGGCGGATAATTGTATCATATCTGACCACGCAAATAAAAATAGATTTTGCACGAGCGACATGTCGGATAAATTAGGCAGCTGCATTGAAATTATTACTAAGATGTACTCTGAAAGAGAGAAAGAAATTACACTTTATGATTGCATGGTAAATATGCAAAATTAAGAAAAAATTATTTTATTTATTATTCCATAATTATTTTCTTATCAGTCATTCACGTATTATATTAATTATATTATATTTTGACACTGATTGATTTATATTTTGACAATGATGATTTAGATAAAGAAAGAAGAAAGTCAGTGCCATTGTGGATGCGGCGATTCGAATAATATTAAAGTAAGATTATGTCTTTTATATATATTTTTTTTTCATATACATATGTACATGATTGTTTCTTTGCACCATTTTAAATGTTATATTATAAAATTAATATTTTTATGTATATATATATATATTTTTTTTGTGTTACAGTTAAATATAAATAGTGCACGACAATTCAAGCTGATGGAAGAATTTAGAGTATGTACTGTGGAGGCTCAAGCAGCAACAGAAGATATTCGTGAGGAGATAAGCGCCGTTGTTTCGATATTTAATTCACGGCATCAAAATGTACGTCTACATCGATAAATAAATTTGTATAAGTTTTTGTGAACAATTAATACTAATTTATGAAGGTGATAGCAAAAAGTAAAAAATAACTAGACTTACACTGTTTATATTTTCAGTATGAAGACTTGAGCAAGATGGTCGTTAGTGTACAAAGTTGTTCAGCGAAAACACGAGAAGGGCTATTAGAAGCCATCAATAAACTAGAATTACAAGTAACGAAGATATTAATGAAGATAGAATATATATTAAAACGCATATGCTTGTAATGCACATTATTAAAATATTAAATTATTAAATTATTAAAATATAACAGCGCTATCTTCAAAAAAACATTAATTATCTTTGCTATTTTTGTAATTTAAAAATATGTCTTTATTATTACCAGGAAGAAGAGGGATTGAGACGTAGCGAGAGAATTGCGAATAGCAAAATTAAACTGAAAGATATAAAGAATCAAATTAATCTCGGGCAATCAGAATTATTTCGCTGCATTAATAGTATACGAGAAAATATACAGGTTTGAATAGTATATTTGTTAAATAATTATTTTAACTGATTTACGTCGTATAAAATTTAAAATAAATTTCAGGAATGTAATCAATCCGGATATATAGAAGCGTGTATCAGCAATGATTTGTTAACTGTAGTAACAGAAGAAGTTGAACAAATACTGACTAATTTGCAGTTCTTTCAAACTCAGGTAAGAGTAATACATAGAAAAGTAAGGTACTTTATTCTACACTTATGCCAGACATATGTATGTATGTATGTATTACGCTAATATTATCTATTAGGGCGGTTGTATAACGTCTATACTAAAAGGATTAAAAAGCGGATTATGTGCTATAGACTGTTCTTTAAGGGATTTGCAGAAGAAAACTGGTGAAGTAGTAAGTATCTCGGAAGAAACGTTACCTTCATGTAAAGAGTTAAGACAGAGAACATTATCTATAGTTATAAATTTCCAATTGCGCAATTATCCGTGCAGATATTAAACAACGAAGTTGCAAAAACGACATTCTGCGAGAAAGAGAGTAGATTGGCTAAACTCGAGGAAGAAGTAGATTGTGCGCATTCAAAAATGCAGGACGTGTTAGAAACTTTCCTTTCCACAAAGCAAGAAGAGAAGGTTATTATACATACTTTTATGTTTAAAAATGCAATAAATATATAAATTAATGTATAATTAATAACACGAATGTTATGTCATAGGAGCAGTTCCCTCACTTTAACAATCAGGTATTAATCAATACAACTGTTGCAAGAATTTTTTATCTTTCAACTCATATTATTTGAATGTGAAATTGTTTTTATATATACTGTCTTACAGGGAATAAATGATATAATAAAAACAAAAGAAGATTTACATAAATTAAGGAAGGAATATGACGATCTGAAACTTAATATGTCACAGGTACGTGAATATTTAGATTATTTTGTTTTTTATGACACTAGATATATAATGATATATGACAAACGTTTTGTGTAAATTATTTATTAATAATTTGTATATTAAATATATATATACACATTTGTAGCAAGCACGTCAACTGAAATATGATGAAAAACTGAATAAGTGGGAGAATCGTGTAACTGATTTGGAAGATCAAATTAGAGTGTTACAACATGAGGTAATTACAATATTTTTTAATTAATTTTTGTTTGTCGAGCTACATAGTATTCCTCTGCAATAGGTAAAATGCAAACAAGAAGCAAATAATTTCTTGAAGAACAGCATCCAGTCTACGGAAAAGGAATTGATGGATGTACGATCGAAGGCAGAAAATTATAGGCAGTGCCAGAGCAAGGATAATATGGAATTGAAGAAGAAAATAATAGAACTGGAAAATATTGTAAGAGTATCAGTTTTTAATATATTTTCAAGATTACTTATGTGCTCATGTTAATATTGTAAATAAACATGGTTTTTTAGATCAAAACACAGAAAAAAGTAGAGAGTAATCTGCAGGAAAGTCTAAATAGTCTAAATAACGAATCAAAAATTAAGAAATCTACAGATATCTCAAATGTTTTCGTAAGTAACATCAATTTACTAATCATATAAATATACTATGGCTATAACTTGAAACCCGCCTTTTTTTTTGCAAAAATTATTATTGCCTTTATTTAAGAAACAAATGAAAAAAATACATCAATTAAAGTATTGGCCACCGTTAGATATGACTTTTTCCCATCTTTCTGGTAATAAGCGGATCCCATGGCGAAAGAACGACTTATCTTTAGAAGCTATCTGTCTAGTTAGAGACTTATTTTTCGATGCTTTTATAAGAGTTGAAATGTTCCTCTGCAAATACGTGTGCCACCGACTGAAACAAGTGGTAGTCAGAAGGGGCACAGTCTGGTGAATAAGCCGCATGGGTAGCACTTCCCAGTAAAGTGCTTCCAATGTTTTCTTGACAACCTTAGTGACGTGAGATCGAGCGTTGTCATGAAGCAAGATCACTTTATGCTGTTTTGTCTTATATATTCTGGTCGTTTTTCGCGCAATGCTCGGCTCAAACGGATTATTTATATTGTTGGTAAAGATCCCCTGTGACTGTTTGATTAGGTTTCAGTATCTCATAATATACCACACCCTTCTGGTCTCACCAAATACAGAGCATGGCCTTCTTCCCATGAATATTGCGTTTTGGCGTCGATGTCAATGGTTGGCCTAGGTCACAAATGGTTTTTCGGTGTTTGGGCTTATCGAAATAGATCCACTTTTCCTCGCCAGTCAATTCGATGCAAAAACCCTTTTCTTTTTTACCTAGCAGCATTTCGGAGATAGTTTTTCGCCTTTCGATATCTCTTTCTTTCAATTCATATGACACCCATCTTCCTTCCTTGTATACTTTTCCCATGGTTTTTAAACGCTTGGAAATGGCTGCTTGAGTAACATTCAACGTTTCTGCAAGTTGATTTTGTGTTTGACATGGATCTTCATTAATCAATGCTTGCAGTTCTGTATCTTCGAATTTTTTTGCTGGCCTGGACGTTCTTTATCATTTGTGTCAAAATCACTAAGTTTGAATCGTCGAAACCATTCTTTGCAAGTTGTTTTTGACAGAGAAAGTTCCCTATAAGCTTCTACAAGCATTCAATGAGATTCAGAAGCAGTTTTCTTCAAATTGAAATAGAAAAGCAAAGCTTCGCGCGAATGATGCTTATTTGGTTGAAATTCAGACATTTTCTTTGCAGTAAATAACTATGTTGTTATCACAAACAAACTTTTATATACTGAATATTATTGATAGAGGTCAAAATTATAAATGATGCCTTCCTTATCCTGATGAGGATGCCTTGTTCATCCATTACAGTTGACGATTGTCAAAGTTACAGCTATTTATCACTAGATTACGGGTTTCAAGTTATAGACCTAATATATTTTCTGTTTTTTTGTACGTGTTTGCTATAATGTAACATGTTATTTTACTGAAAAGTGCATGGACCATGGCACAGAGGCAATATTTTTACGTTGTGACTATCCATCTAAACATGAGGTAATTGTCGAATATATAAATTCAATGAATATTGCTTAATCACTAATTAGTTACAATTGCAGATATTTGCCTATAATTTCTTATAAATAAGATCTTAATATTGATTTGTATTTTGCTTATTTACCGCACACAGAATATATCTCATTGGTTCAAAACATTGCAAGATGCAGTGCAGTCTTCCAAACTAGTAGTTCAGGACTTAGAAAGTGAACTTAAAAGATTGGTTTGTACATTTAACTCTATTCCCTCTTTTTCTATTATTATAAATTTTATAAATGTAACATTTATTTATTTTCTATATACAGATATGCGATGAATCGTCTAAATCCTCTGTTTCGACAAGATCCGTTGTGACGCTGATAGAAACATTGGAAAAATGCAGAAAAAGATTGAACACTTGCTCTGATGAGTTAAGCAAGCTGGAGAGTGCTGTATATTCTAAAGAGAAACTTGTGAGTTTTGTTTATTATCATCTGTATACTTATACATCACTTATAAATGTGTCAATTCATCAGATTATTTAGAAAAACACGTATTATTAAGCGTATCATATTAAGTTTTAATCGAGCAAACTCCTTCAGTTGGAAAATCTGGAGAAAGTTATACAAATACAACAAGATTCCTTAAAAATGAGCCAAGCCGAAGTGAAAGATTTGCATCAAAAGCTACAAGAGAAGGTAAATTAAAAATTGAGAATTTTAAGCAATATACAATAATAGATAAAAAGTCTTACGATACTAGATTATATAATCTATTTTTATTACTTCATGACACACACATGGTTTTCTAATTTTTAATTAAAATTTTAAATATTGCATTGTATAATGTCGCGCGTTTTTTTAAATAAGTAATTCAAGTTATTTCATGTTGTCACTTTCCAAACACCTAAGATATTAGTGCAAGTAAATTCTATGTACTTGTCAAGAATAAAATCTCAAGGTATGTGATCTTCCCTTAATATCATTATTAGAAATATAAGATAAGACCTCATTACAGATTGATAAGCAAAGTTTTACTATCGCACAATACGAGAGAGAAAAGAACGAGTTGCTGAAACAGGTTTGTTCCTTCTCTATCATTTCCATTAGAGCATACTAAAACTTACGTTCTACGTCGCGTTATATTTTACAGAATGAACTTCAAATTCAAACTATTGGGCACTTACAAAATGCTGTTGTTGAAGCTAAGAGAAATTTGGATCAGATGGGACATAAGGCGATGAGTGATGTGAGTGAACTGAGGCCAGCGATATCGTCTTCAACTTTCAATCGTAGAAACGTGCATGACGTTTAAATGTGAATTATGAATAGACTAAAATTGCTATTTAGCTTTGTTGCCAGATTATATTGATTGCAACGACGTTACAATTGTAAATAATGTTGATCAGTGATTATTAAAAGTATGACTTGTCGAAGATACGGACTATTATTGTTATTACATTTTTTTTGCCTTTTGATCATTTTACTGTCGCGACATTGTAAATGCAACGAATGTGATGAGTACTCTATGCATGATGTGTGCTCATTTAATTTCTTGTATGACGATTTTGAATCGTTTGATGCTTTTACGACGTTAGCCATATTTGTATATCCTACTTGCAAAGTGACAAGAGATCACCATATACAAATGCAACTGTTTGGATTAACAAGTGCCCTAGATGATCAAGCTGTGGCCGTTATACTATGCAATTAACATGATAACATAAAGCATATTATATACGTGAGTGTTGTTTGCTTACAAACCTAAAAGATAAGCGTATGATAAATAAAAATTGAGTTATTTTTGCAGCTCTGCGAGAAAGACGAAACTATTCGTCAATTGATGATGTGCGTTGATGAGACACAGGAGCAATACAACGAATGTTTTACAGAGGTATGTGTACAGGAATTATTTGCATGAAAATCACAACGTTAAAAATATCTAGATTGCAAAATAATCAACATGCACACTCGACGTATTATTGAACGTTAATTATATTTTTGTATTTTATAAAGGCAACCAGTCAGGACTTGTTATTGGATCTGCAACGGGACGCTATTGACAGTCTACATAAAAGAATTCGTTCTCTGGAATATGATAAATATTTGAACGCTACTATATTGCATACGACTTATTATTCGATTTTAAATGTAATACAGGTATGGTATAGGTTTTAATTTTTTAAATAATTTGCACGCGAACGGTAGTCGAGCTAATTATAAAAACCATGTACGCTTCCAATAAACAAATGTTCGTAATAAACAAGTGTTATACTTTTTATAGTAGCGATAATATTTGTAACTATATATATTTTTATATTAAAAATAGGCGAGACTAATCTTTTATGAAAGTTATATTATTAGAATTTTTTTCAGGAACAAATATATGGTCATATAAAGGATTTTCAAGCACTGAGATGTAAGGTATGTTATTTCATCCTATATAAAAATTTCATCCTATATAATTTTTTCTGTGATCATGTAATATGCTTGTCTTAATTTTTAAATATATCTTATTACAGATGGAATATTTCGTACAGGCAAAGAATAACTCTAAATGCCAATGCGAGAACACAAAGAACATGTTAAATTATACCGAGCAGAAAAGACCATTAGACCAGTTAGAGTAATGTATCTCCTTTACTTTAAAATTTGTTGTTTTTCATATTACACACACTCACGCGACAACATACACACACACAAATATATATTGAGATAAATCTTTCAGTAGTACTTGTTCGTGCGCGATATGTTCTAAAAACGAGAGTTATGATACTGCAAATTTGGAATATATTTCACACAATTGTGCATCGTATATGGAGAGACATTCGAGTAAGATAAATTATATAGATCTGCAAAATAAGTAGAAATTTCAGAGTATTAGTATAATTCAAATATTACCATTTTTTAGGTAAGGAAGTGGATATGGAGAATATCTGTCAAATCCAACGATTAAAAGCAGAATTGCAGAAGATAAAAGATACTGAATGCGATTTAAGATGCGAGAATCAACAACTCAAAACCGATCTCCAATATCATATATCGAAAACTGAAGATTTGATAAAGAAACTAGAACATATCAAACAGAAAGAAACTAAATATAAGGAACTTTTATCGCAACTAGAAAATGGAGAAAGAGAGGTGATTATATTTTGACACACACACACACATATATATAAATTATGTATTTCATTATTTTATTAACGTCGCTCAAAATTTACAGATTGAGAATTTAAATGGCCAAATTATTAATAAAGAAGAAATTATTAGAGACCAATCTCATGAACTTGAAGCGCTTCGGAACAAATTTCTTATGAAGAACCAACAAGTAGAAGAGGATTTATTCGAATTAAATACATCGGAGCAGGAAATGTTAAATACTTTATGTGATCGAATATATTCTTTGAAAAGACTACTTCGAGAGAAATCCGATTGCATGGTTAAGTTGCAAGCCGATTATAAATTGCTTGAGGTACCGTTAATTGTACCAATAATTAATGCATATTAAAACTAATAGAGTTATGTATTAGCTAATCAGAGAGATATGTATTTGTTAATCATATTCTTGTGTTTCAGAATGAGAATTCTATATTAAAAAATCAGAATAGTGTTATTGAGAATCAAGCTAAAGACAATATCATTCAGTTAAAGGAAAAGGTGATATTTATATAAAATTTTATTAAAAATTTGTTAAGAATATGCTACATATTTTATAATTAATTTTTCTAAAACTTATTTAGCTTAAAGAAATACATTTGAGATTACATCAGACAGAAAATAATTATCAGCGAGTAACTGAAGATTTCAAGAAAGTTCAAGATAAACTATTGTTAGCAACAAAACGAGAGGCTGACTTGCAAGAATCGCTAATGATTCTGGTATTTATGTTGTTATATAATAGAAATTTTACTGTGTGTTACACATATACGCATACATATGTGTGCGTCATAGACACACACACACACACACACACACACATATATATATATATATATAAGTTTTCAAAATTGTACGTATTTTTTTTAGGAGAAGGATTATTGTTCAAAAATATCAAATGTAGAAAATGAAGCAGTCAGTCTTCGCGAATTAGTAAATAATCTAAGCGAAGAATTGGAAAAGATAAAAAAAGAGCTTATATCAAAGAATATTACGTTTTTTGAAATACAAGATAAATGCAAAAATTATGCCGATCAGTTGGATGTTATACGCCAAGAAGTATAAATACCATATAATAATTTTATTGCAAATATACTAGATGCATTAAGAAAATTACAAATGAATTCTTAGTGTGACTAAATGTTTTATAAGAATATAAAGAAGCATTTAATTAATACACCATTGATATTTTTAGTTTGCAAAAGAAAAGGAGGAACTGGTGAAGGTGGAGGATGCAAATTGTGGCTTGAATCAACAATTGCAGGCATACATGGATGAAAACTACTATCTTGGTCGACAGAATATTTCACTCAAAGAAAATAACTCTACTTATATGATTGAGGTACATGATATTTTTCATTTAATTTTTAACTTTTAAATACATTGAATGTTAATTTGAAATTAATTGAATATTAATTTAGATCTTTTATTAATTACCATCACACGTTAGTATTTGCAGTAGCTGTAAACTTTATGATCTAATATGTTCCATAACATTGACTGGAATTCAATAAATTAAGTATTAAATTATTATATCCATTACAGTTACAAAGTATGCGTAAATCTCTGCTCGAGCTAGAAAAGGAATGCTATTTAAAAGATAGATCACTAATGTACATGTCAGCTGACTTGACCGAAGCAGCAGTAAGCAGATCAGAACTTTGCAAGGAATCTCAACATATAGTTTCATGCATTCGCGATTATATGGACCAACAGAAGAGATGCATTGAACACTTGACTAAGAATCTGGAAAACAAGCAACGATACATAATGCAGCTTGAGAATAAGTAATTAATTTATCTTTATTTGTATTAAATACAATTTCGTGTGTGTCTCTCTACTATATATTTACTTAAAACGGAAATAATTTTTTTTAGAGTTCTGTTGCTTAAGATCAAGAAGTTGAAACGAATTAATTTGTTGACAAAACGAAGAAGAATGCATAAGCAGCTGAGCAGTAGAGGTTATAAGAGAATACCCATCAACGGTTATATCTCGCCATCAGATGTACAAAGTGCAGGCACACACATAAGTGTAATTCCAAGTTCAAGCTACACAGACTTATACAAGGTTGGAATATTTGTAGAAAATGTTTTATGATATAATTAGTATATTATGTAACGATTATAATTACTGAGTAAATTTTATTTAGCAATAAAATAATATATCTCGTTTTTAGAAATGTTTCAGAACGTCAATCAGAACAAATCGACGTACATCGACATCTGACAATTCATGTTGGTTTTCCAAAATAGAAGATTTAACAAACAAGGTGCGTAAGAGTAATCAACGGTGGAGATCAAATTTTAAAAACGGAACAGAATCTGACACTTCCTTAGAGGAGAGCCGGGATTATGGTTATCAATCTTCTACAAGTAAATGAGGAAGAATCAAAAGAGATTTAATTCAATCTTAATTAAACTGAAGAGAAATAGCGTGTGAGAAGTTTGGCGTTGAATATAGTCAATCGTAAAAATTTGTGACGCGATTTACGTTAATTTGTGTCTTGTGTTATTTCTTTTGCATGAATCTTATTTTATATCTTATACTGTTGAATGTATCCTTATTTTAGATAAAAATAGATATTTTTTACAAATATCTGATTTATACTGTACGAACATATTTATCGTAGCTGATCATCAAATCGCACAATGATGCGATAATGAGTCATGCATAGGAGATGTAACAATATAAGATTTTCCAGGTATATTTCGCGAAAAAATTCAAGTATTGTTCCAGTTTCATTCGGCGTAAATATTTCTGCACACTTTGGTGGATCCTAGAATTATTGTGAATACATATTAAATGTATACTTGCATCAATTTTTAACACGTGTATGTGTATTCAAAATTAATATTTAATTACCACAATAGTATATAAAAGAACTTGTTCGAAAAAATATTTGTGTATTTGTTCAGCTGTGTTCCAATAGTTTGTGATATAAAAATGGTGAGTTGAGAGCATTAATTCTAGGACTATTGAAATTTGATGATCGGTGAATAATTTCTCTCTGAAATATGGGTTTAAAATTTGATATTTATGTTTATATCTATAAACTCTAAATAATCACATATAGTATATATATATAATATGAATTGGAATAAAAAATTTTATACTATTTTATAGCATATATATATATATATATATATATATATATATATATATATATATATATA